CGCGACGCTGATTGAGGCGCATAGCGGCAAAGGCCGGCCGCCCCGCTCCGGCACGGCGGCCGGCTTGGGGTATGATGTCGTCCCTAGGCCCGAAGTCGTGGCGCTCGACGACAAGGACGCGAGCACGGATACGCCGCGTGTACCTTCTATGCCGACGCCGAGCGAGGCGAGGGGAGGGCGAAAGCCCTCTCCGTCCCGCTCGCCGAGGGCGCAGCGATCCCCCCGCCTAGTTCCCACCACGGGCTCCACCACGGGCTCGAACACGGGCTCGAACACGGGCTCGAACACGGGCTCGAACACGGGAACGACGCCACCGCTCGATTCAGCTTCAGCGTCGTGTTCAGCGGGGACAAGCGTCACGAGCACGATCTCGGGCTCCCCCCGACGCTTCTGGTCCTGGGGCGAACCCGTCACGCCGCGTCTTGAGGCGACAGAAGATGAGGAGTGGGAGTACGTCGATGTCGAGGATGGCATGGTTGGCGAGCTTGAGCTGGAAGTTGTCAAGGACGTGGCGAGTGGGTTGGGGCAGGGGCTGGCCTATGCCGAGGTCGTGAGGCAGTGAACTCCACCGCTGAGGACGAGAGACCGAGAGACCGCCGAGAGACGATAGCCTCTCCCGTCTTCCGCTCCAGAAGCCCTGAGCACCGCTTCCCTCACGGATATGGTGGCAAGTGACTAGGCAGCGCATGCAGCGCAGGCAGCGCATGCAGCGCACCGACCCCGCGAGAGCCACTCGACTCGACTCGGCTCGACTCGACACATGAACAATAAATAGTAAACGCATGGACCTGTGCAATCTGTGCAGCTGTGCAAATAGTTAGAAACCGGCATCTGATAAGCCAACACCTTTAGATAAACATCAAATGACGAAGAGAAAAGCAGCAAAGTGAAAGAAGAAGTCCCTTTTGTACATGTTTTTTGTATGCAATTTCAACTACTCTGGGTATACCTATATGTCTATGGTGTTTGATGTGAGCGGAGCGAGTATGGGTTAGGTGTCAGCGGCGAGACGACAAGCGAGCAATGTGGTAGGGAGAGGCGAGACGAGTAGAGCAGAGTGACAATGCAGCCACACGTCAGCTGCTATACGCTACGGGCTATGCGCCTCGCCTCGCGAGATCTGAGTGTCTCGGAGCTGCAGCTCCACTCGCCTTGCTCCCTGCGCTTCCTACGCCCCCCTTCATCCTCTTCCCGCTCATCCTGCCTAATCCGGGTGCCCGCTCCCAGCAATGGCGGCTCAAAGATCCGCCAGCTCTCGGCCCAATCTAGCCTGCGACAGCGTTCGCCGTGTGCGGCTCCCGTCTCCTTCCCTCTACTCCATTCGCAACCGCCTCCGGCGGCGCGCGGCGCTCGGCCGCGCTCAGCGGCGCTCGGCGTCTACTTGGCCGTAAGCTTGTTGACGAGCCAGTCCATGCCCTCCATGAGGCCGTCGCCCGTGAGCGCCGAGCAGCCCATGATCTGCCACTCGCGCTCGCGCAGGTCCGTCAGTCCCAGGCCCTCGGAGACCTGGGCCGGCGTCAGTCGCCCGGCTTGTTCGGGCAGGTCTTGCTTGTTCGCGAGCACGAGGAGGAGGGCGGATTTGAGCTCCTGTGTGTGTCAGCTACGTCCCTTCCGAACAGCTGTGCATGGTCCGCAGGACGCTGAGTTACAGCATCCCGTATGGTCGCCATATCGGCCGACGCCTTGAAGGCCTCGCGACGCCTCGCGACGCGCCTCGCTGCGCTCGGCGTCCGCTCGGCGTCCGCGACTCACCTCATTCTTGACCAACTTCTGCAACTCGGCCTTGGCCAGGCCCAACCGCGCACTGTCGTTCGAGTCAATGACCAGGATGATCGCGGCCGTATCGGCGAAATACTGGCTCCAGGCTGAACGCAGGCTGCTCTGTCCCCCGAGGTCGACGAGGCCGAATCGCACACCCTTGTAGTCGTAGATTTCGGAATTTGAGCCGACGGTTGGGGCCGAGGCGACGACGGCGCCCATTGTTATGCGGTACAGGATCGTGGACTGGGTGTTAGCTCTCGGAAACATGCATAGCTAAGCCGCTGTCCTGCAGCAATCGCCGCCCAGATCAGCCACCGCGGGGCAGCTCTCAAAGTCGTACTCGACCCCTATCGCGATCTCGCTGTGCGCGACACTCACCTTGCCCGCATTATCGAGACCGAGGATGAGCACTTTCGTCTCGCGCTTTGCGAAGAGGCGGGACCAGAGACTGGAGAATGTGACTGGGGTCAGATTGGTGAGAGTGCGATCAACTCACGTCCCATGGTAGCTGGCGATAGGGGATTTGTTGTTGTTCTCACGAGTGACCATAGACGACGGACCAGCGCGACGATGACGCGGGAGCTGAGGGCGGCAACAGGGCAACCACGCGAGAGAGTGTACGGCGCGGACAGTCAAGATGAGTCCGTCAGGGAAGACTGATGCTAGCTGTCTGGGCCTGGCAGCCGTAGTCGTACGCGCGCAAACTCGAGTCCGCTCAAGCGCTCACCGGTGGGTGCGAAAGTCTAATGCAACCCTAAGTGGCTTTCTAATCGCACCCGGGTCCTCCATACACTCCACGTGGGGCACAGCCTAATACCCCGCTCGCTCACCCAACAAGTTCCCGCGAAATCGGGCACTAAACGACTGCAACGCGGTGAAAAACACTCTTGGGTGGCGTAAGATTTGACTCGACCCACAGTTACGTAACCCGGATTTTTCGCCAGAACATAGGTACTATCCACTCGATCCCAGCTGGCCCGGCTCCCAAGATTTCCAGAGACAAGCTCGAGAGGGACGACCAACGAACGTTTGGTTTGGCATATCCCTCCTCCCCACCCCCGGGACAACCGTCTCCCACTC